CTCCATCCTCCCATCCCAAGTCTAATCCTGAGCTGATCCTGTTGAGTCCCTTGAAAACAGATCCAGAAACTGCCCAATTCTCACCATAATTATCGTAGTCAAAGCTCCATCTGCCCTCAGCAACTTCTTCATGGGGTCCTCCCTCAACTCTCAAACCATCCCCATGTCCCCTAGGGACAGGAAAAGCACACATCTGAGATGGCCTATGAGATCTCTGCAATCTGACAAGAGCCCAACTCCACCTCATATCCTAATCCACCTGTGATGGTCTGAACTGGTCCTCCCCAAACTCAGGTGTTGAAGCCATATCCCCTAGTGCCACAAAATGTGGCCACATTGGACACAGCACCTTTGAAGATGTTATTAAAGTTAAATGTGGTCTTCGAAAGTCCCACATCTGCCTTTCCAATTAGGAGCAAATTAGGACAAAGACACACAATGAAGTTGATGGCCATCTACAAGCCAAGGAGAAAGGCTAAGGAAGAAACAACCCTGAGGATGCATTGATCTCAAATTTCTACTTCCATAGCCATAAGAAAATTAATTTTTTTTGTTAAGCCCCCAGCCAACCTCTACTACCTTTAGTCCATGGGTCTGTCCCTCTGGCCTCTCTGATGTCCACACACCAGATATGACCTGCCTCAGGGCCACTACTTCTTACAACCAGAACTCTCTTCTGAATTTATAGTACATCTCTCTCTCTCTCTCTCTCTCTCTCTCTCTCTCTCTCTCTCTCTCTCAGCTCATGTGTCACATGCTTGTGGTCTTACCTGACCTTTCTGCTATTTTAAAAGCTTCCCAACTTTACATGAACTTCCTTCCCTATGCTCTTGTTTCATCTTTCTTGAACCACTTCTTGTTTATTGACTGTATTCCACTAACCAAGAGGAGCACTTTTTTAGATTCTGAATCCTCTGCACCAAGAATACCAGGTGAACAGATACTAAATAAATTAAAAAACAACGTTGCCATAGCATTTACCTTTTCAGGAGTTTAATGACCTTATATGCTGTGTTCCAGTCTAAACCAGTTGTGGGCTCATCCAGGAACAAGATAGAAGGATCAAGGATCAGCTCCATTCCTATACAAATCATTTTTCTTTCTCCTTTAGATTTCACCTAAAACACGAATTACTATCATCATCCACATGAATGAATATAGTCACTGTCATTTGATGAATTAACCTGTACCATTCTTCATAGAGACATGTTATCTCATTATGTTGATTATTCTGTATGTTAAGTAAATGACACCTGGGAGAAGGAGAGGTTTCTATTATCATATGCATAAGGTGAGGCCCAGAACAAAGTTATCAAGTGACTGCACCTGATATGATATAAAATTAACTAGAGTGATAGTAGTGGTAATATCATGTATTATTGAAGCTCAGGCTCTAATAGTCCTGTATGTTCCTCACCAAGTCAAGTATTTAGTTTTAAGAGAATAAGTTACAACACTAAAAAAAATATGACTCTGACATAAAAAAAAATCCCTACTCAGTAGGAGAGGAAACTATCTATAGCGATCTTTCAGTGTTTTCTAACCACCTCCCACTGACACACCTGCCTCCACAAAACAATCCCAAGTGGATTGATAAAGAGAGTCAAGTTGGAGCCAGGAATGTACACTTTTTACCATACCATTTTAGCATCTTTTCATCTTTTCATAATTTCCCCCCAAAATGTTGTTTTCTATACCTTAATTTACCTTGGAATTCCTGATTCATCTTTTCAGAAAAATCCAGAAAAGCGAATATTCCACAGGGCAACTGGCCCAGTCTTTGCAATGAATAAATATATACGGAGGGGAGAAAGAAGGTTTTGGGGAGGAAGGAAGTAGAAAACACATCTGGAATTTGGAGTCTCCAAACAGATGATATCCAAATGCTATTAATGGCCCTTGATTGGATATTATTAACAAATGAACTATAAAAGACATTTGGGTACCTTTATCAAAATGTCATATGCTTGTACAAATATGCCACAATGGAATCTATTATTCTGTATAATTATTATAAACTAATAAAAACACTTGAATATAAATATAGAGATGATGCTTAATATTAAAAGTGCTACACAAATACATGATATTACCACTAGTATCACTCTAGTTAATTTTATATATCTCCCTAAATAGATAAAAACCTTGAAAAGAAAAGTATACTAAAAAATGTAATTGCTTGGAGTTTTAGGAAACCTTTTCCTACAGGAGATTTTTCTTAAATTTTTTCTCTACTTTAAGTAACAAATTATGACCAATGTCGTGGAGTCTAATGGAATTCAACTTTTGACAAGCTAACCAGTATTGAAGGGGGGAATACAATGAATAATTTACACAGGAAAAAGTCAACAAGATACTGAATGTCAAATGTCTGTCCTATTTTTTCATCCTCCCTTTATATCCATGTTGATCTACTTACCTGTAAAACAAAACAAAAAGGATTTTTAAGATTAAGAAAACCTTAAAAATTGTGAACTTAAAAAAATGATTTGTATTAAATCTTCATCAATCACAAGTCTGAAGCAATTGTATATTGTATACCATGATTGTGACAAAAAAATATGGACTTAAAACAGCTGATTATACAGAGACATTTTTTTAGAGACATTTTATTGATTGATAATGTGTTGATAAGATAAGTAAATGTACTTATTTCCTTTTGCAATTATGTGAGAAGAGGTAAACAAATGAGAAATCAAAGAGAATAATGCAAGAGTCTGGAAATAAAAACAACAACAACAAAAAATACTGGAGAGAATGAGAAAAGAAAACTGTGAAAGAAAGAAGAAAGGCTTTACAAAATAACTTTATCACTACACAAATTAGAAGTAACTCCAGAGGTAAACAAATATCATTTGGAAGCCCAATTACAACAAAGTGAATCACAGCACAAGAATTAGCGAGTCCCAACCAGCTCACACAGAAGGAGGTAGTGAAGGAAAAGCAGAATTAAGATTTGGGTGACAAAACAAATGCTTTAAGATGCAATATTACAAAGTTTGAGACCTGGAGAGACATGATGATAGGTTACCAGAGTAGAAAAAGAGCACAGAGTCCCCTAACCCTAAAACTGAACCAGATCGGTAAAGTGGGACAGGGCAACAGAGAGAGAAAGGAGGGAGCAGAAAAACGCTTAAGCTCACCCACTTAAAAGCAAGTAGAAAGGCAGACAAAATTTAAAGTGTGACAGGAACAGCAGGGTTCTTAGAACAAATAGCTTAAAACCAAATCTGAAAAGAAAACTGAACTGGAGTCCACAGTCCTTCCACCCCTTAAAGTTATCCCTTAAATCACCATGGCCATTTCCCATACCCAGACAGCTGCATCAAAGAACACAGAGTTCCTGTGCTCATAGAGTTGCTGCACTCAGTCAGTCACCAGGATCCTCACCACCACTAAAAGAATCTGATAGAGGGTAAGAGGTACACAGTGACCCACAGCACTCATAGGGACACTCCAGATTCTGCATCTGAACTCCTACGCACAATAAAAACAACCAACATACAACACTGCACCCTCCAAGCAGACAGCTTCAAGCCCCTGAGCTGACAAACCAGAACTGCCTGGTGGAGGTTCACAGCAACTTGCAAATTGGCTCCTATGCCCCTGTAATATGAACAGATCCACAGCCAAAGAATGATGGTAATTTCCTAAATGTCCAAACCCCACTGAAATCTAAATCAAAATTCAACAAGGTTTTTCTTTACCTAAGCATGGTTTACTATAAACAACTCTAACATTAACTTTGATAATATATATAACTCTTTAACTTGAATGATAGTTGTTACTCAATAATTAACATTGTACCCTCAACCCATTTGAAAGTATTTTATCCAATGGTTTATAGCATCCATTGGAATCAATCCTATCTTTGCTTTTCTAGCTCTAGCTGATAAATGTTCCTCTTACCCCTAATTCATCTTCTCACCTTATCTGCTACTATTTCAAATATACAATATCTAATTCTCTCTATATCTGGATCTGAATTACCCTTTTATAACTTTACTCTCTTTTTCTTATTTTCAGTATCTCTTTTCCCTCTCCATTTGTCCAATCTTTCTCCTTTCCCCCATTTAGCCCTCATTTAAGTATAGTAATTTTACTAAATTAAATACCCATTTTTTGGCCTGTTACAGAAGTTTATTCCAAGTTTACACTGGATTTGAGGAACCATAAAAAACAAATAGCAAGAAGTTTTAGTTTCTCATAAGGTTGAACAGCATGAGGCTTAGCTCAGAAGCAATTATAATAAAGAGGGTGGCACCTCTGAAAGTACTGCTGATATTGGGATAAGTAGAAGTCAAACATGGTATAAAAAATAAAAAAAAAAAATCAATATGTGGATACTCAACCTACCCAGGACTCTTAAGAGAAAGAAACTCACAAAATAGTCCCTCCCTTAAAAGAAGAAGTGAGAATTATACCCACACAACGGTAGACATACAAACAGTATGAAAAGGCAAGAGAATGAACTACCCCCAATTTCCTATAATGCTTCAACTGACTTCATCAACACTATAGTAGAAGAAATGTCAGAGAAATAATTTAGAAAGTTCATAGTTAAAATGTTCTATGACCTAAAGGAAGATGTAAGAAGTGAAATTGAAAGAAAATACAGGAAGTAAAGATTATTTCAATAAAGATAAAAAAATTCTGAAAAGGCATCAAATTGAAATGTTAGAAATGAAAGGCTCAAGAAACCAAATTAAAAACTTAAATGAAAGCATCACCAATAGATTAAACTACTTCAAAGAGAGATTTTCAGACCTCAAAGACAAAGTATATAATCTTGAAAATAAAGCTGACAATAAAGGAAAGAGGTTAAGAGACCATAAATAAAATATTTTTAAAAATGTGATAACACTAAATGACCAAATTTAAGATTCATTGGGATACATGAAGGCTCTGAAATTTGAGCTAAAGGGATGCACAGTCTTTTGAATAAAATAATACTAGAAAAATTTCCAAGCCTTAAGAATGAGATAGAAATTCAAATAAAAGAGGCATAAGAATTCCAATTATAGAAAAATCACAATAGATCCACTCTAAGACACATTATAATGAAAATGCCTAACATACAAAATAAGGAGAGAATTATAAAAGCTGCAAGAGAAAAATGATTGGTCACATTTAGAGCTAAACCAATCCAAATTTCAACTCATTTCTCAACCCAGACCCTGAAAGTCAGGAGGACTTGGAATAATATATACCAACCTCTGAAATAAAATTGATGCCAACCAATAATTCCATAGCCAGCAAAATTAAGCTTCAGAATTGAAGTTGAAATAAAAACCTTCCATGATAAACAGAGCCAATAGAATTTATAACTAGAAAGCCTGACCTAGAAGATACACTCATGGGAAAATTTTATGAAAAGGAAATGAAGAATAAAAATGATAAGCAGCATAGGAATGAAGTGTACTAGTAGAATAGTCAAAGGAGAATCAAGTCCACTTTAAACATTAGAAATAAAACAAAATGTCAGAGAATAAAAATCATCTCTAAATAACAAATTTGAAAGTAAATGGTCTGAAATCTTAATCAAAAGACACAGGTTGGCAGATTGGATTTAAAAACAGGACCCAAAATTATTCTGTCTCCAAGAGACTCACCTTACAGGCAAAAACATCCACAGACTAAAGGTGAAAGGATGAAAAAGACATATCATTCAAATTTTACTCATGAACAATCAGGGGCAACTCTTCTCATATCAGATAATGTGGACATTAAGACATAATAAATCAGAAAAGAAAAAGAAGGTCACTTCATGCTGCCTAAGGGAGCATAACAAAAATATAATGATTGTAAATATTAGTCCCTCAAACAAAAGAGCATCTACATACATCCAACAAACAAAATTTTTAATTTAAAAAATTAAATCAATATTATAAATCAACAAAACACTAATACTGGGTGATTTTAACAAACCTTTATCACCACTGTATAGATCCTTCAAACATAAACTAAACAAGGATTTTACAGAATTAAAAAATAAAATTAATAAGTGGAACTAATAGTCATTCATGAAATATTTCATCAATCAATGACTTGTTTCACTTTCTCCTTCTCAGCAGCACGTGGAAATTTTTCTAAAATAGACCATGTTTTAGGTCATAAAGCAAATCTTTGCAAAATAGAGAAAAATACCTTGCATTCTATCAGATCATAAAGGAATGAAGTTAGAAATCAATTATAATATTTAAAAAACAACACTTTAACACCAGGAGATTAAATACTACACATTTGAATGATGAATGCATAGTAGAATAAATCAGAGGAGAAATAAAAAAAAAATTAGAAGTAAATGAGAATAGTAATACAACACATCAAAATCTCTAAGTTCATAGCATTGAGCTCATATATTATAATAATAGAAAGATGACAAATAAATAATCTAACATTACATCTCAAGGCCATAGAAAAACAAGAACAAATACACCAACACCAATACAGTAGAAGATAGGAAATAATTAAAACCAGAGGAGAAATCAATGAAATTGAGAATAATAAAAGAAAAAAGATTGGAGAGATCAACATAAGAAAGAATTGGTTTTTTGAAAGGATAAACAAAATTGATAAACACTAACAAAAAGGAAGAAGGCTAAAAAACAAATTCAGGATGAAAAAGGAAATATCACCACAGAATCTATTTTGAAAATGTATATCCCAATAAGCTAGAAAATCTTGACGATGTTGACAAAAACATATTAAAAAGGTAGTGCATCAAGATCAAGTGGGTATTATCCCAGAGATGCAAGTTTGGCTCAACATACAGAAATTGATAAATGTAATTTGCCATATAAATAGACTTAAGGACAAGAATCACATGGTAATATCAATAGTTGCAGATAAACCATTTGACAAAGTACAACACCCATTCATTTTGAAAAACTACAGACAGAAGAAATTTAACTGAACATTAAAATGCTATATATGACAAACCCAATGCCAACATTATACTGAATGGAGTAAAACTGAAATCACTTCCTCTAAAAACAGAAACAAGGCAAGTATGCCCACTTTCACAAGTCCTTTTCAAAATAGTTCTTGAAATTCTAGCCAGAGCACTCAGGCAAGAGAAGGAATCTGTAGAAATGCAAATGTGAAAAGAAGAATTTAAATTATCTCTGTATGCTGATGATATGATACTACTATATTTAGAAGACTCAAAAAACTCCAGCAGGAGACTTTGAGAACTCATAAGTGAATTCAGTAATGTAACAGAATACAATATCAACACTCATAAATCAATCATATTCCTATACTCTAATGATGAATCAACTAAAAAATAAATTAGAAAGACTATCCTATTCACAATAGTCTCAAAAAATACTTGGGAATAAATCTAACAAAAGTGGTGAAGGATCTCTACAATAAAAAATATCGAACTCTTAAGAAAATAGCTGGGTTCAGTGGTGCATGCCTGTAATCTTAGTGGCTCAGGAGGCTGAGGCAGGAGGATTGTGAGTTCAAAGCCAGTCTCAGCAAAAGTGAGGCAGTAAGCAACTCAGTAAAACCCTGTCTTTAAATAAAATACAAAATAGGACTGGAATAAAGAAAATAATTGAGGAAGACCTTAGAAGATGGAAAAATCTCTCATATTCTTATATAGGTAGACTTAATATTATCAAAATGGCATTCTACCAGAAGCATGTACAGATTCAATGCAAATCCCATCAAAATTCCAATGACAATCTTCACAGAACTATAAAAGCACTTATAATATTTATTTGGAAAAATAAAAGACCCAGAATAGCCAAAGCAATCCTAGGGGAGAAAAGCAGAGCAGGAGGCATCACAATACCAGATCTCAAATTATAGTACACAGCTATTGTAACAAAAACAGCTAGCACCAAACAGGTATGAAGACCACAGAATAGAACAGAAGACACAGAGACAAACCCACATAAAACAATTATATAATACTAGACAAAGGTGCCAAAAACATATGCTGGAGAAAAGATAGCCTTTTTAACCAATGGTCCTGGGAAAACTGGAAATCTATATGGAAGAGAATAAAATTTAACTCCAACCTCTTACCCTGCAAAAATGTCAACTCAAATTGAATTGGAGACCTAGGAATTAGACCAGAAACCCTGCACCTGCTAAAAGGAAATGTAGGCCCAACACTCCAATAAATCAGCAAAGGAACTGACTATTTAAATAAGACTCCTAAAGTGCAAGAAATAAAATAAATTCAACAAGTGGGATGGCATCAAGTTAAAGTTTATGAATGGCAGAGGAAAGAATTAAGAGCATGAAGAGAAAACCTACAGAATGGGAGAAAATGTTTTCCATCTGCTTCTCAGGGCATTGATATCCAGAATATACAAAGAATTTAAAAAAAAAATAACACCAAATAAATAAATGAACAAATCAGTAAGTGGGCAAAGAAATTAAACAGACACTCTCAAAAGGAGAAATACAAACTCTCAATAAATACATGAAAAGTGTTTAATATCTGCTAATCAAGGAAATGCAAATTAAAACTACATTGAGATTTCTTCTTGATCTAGTTAGAGTGGCAATTATCAAGAATACAAGTAACCATAAATGTTGATTAGGATGTGGAAAAAGGTACATTCATACATTGTTGGTGGGACTAAAAATTAGTGCAACCACTCTGGAAAGCAGTGTGGAGATCCCTTTAAATACTAGAAATGAAAGAATCCTTTCACCCAGTTAGCCCCCTCCTTGATATATCCAAAACATTTAAAATCATATACTATAGTGAAAAAGTCACATCAATGTTTAAAGCAGCACAATTCACAATAGCCAAGTTATGGAATCAAACTAGGTGTCCATCAAGAGATAAATGGGCAGAAAAAATAAAGTGGTAAAAATATGAAATGGAGTTTTACTAAACCATAAAGAATGACATTATGCCATTTGCCAGTAAATGGATGGAACAGAAGTCTATCACGCTAAATGAAAGTAACCTGTTCCACAAAGCTTAGGTTCAAATGTTTTCTCTGATATGTGGAAGCTAATCCAAAATAAGAAAACTAGAAGAAAGTTCAGTGAGATAGAAAAAAGAGGATGAAGAGGAGAAGAAGGGGTGAGATAAGGAGAGACAGTGGAATGAGTCTGACCAAACTTTCCTATGTGCCTATATGAATAAACAACAGGGAATCTTCCCATCATGTAAATCCAAAAGACATTAATTAAAAAAAAAAAAACAAAAAACTATAAGTAAATAGCTGAAGTTTCAGTAGAGTAGAGGGAAGGATACAGGGCAGGGAGGTTAGAAGGGGAAGCGAAAGCATTGGGGACTGAACCAGAACAAACTATATTCCATGCTTTTCTAATTATGTCAAAGTGAATCATAGTGTTATGTGCAACTAAAAAGAACCCATTTAAAAAAAATCCTTGAATTCTTGTCATTTATGAAACACAGAAGTGTATTTCAGAAAACAATACAACAATGTCCCCCAGAAGAAGAGAGGGAGAAGAAAAGTAAAAAAGGAAAGAAATAAACAACAAGAAAAGTGCAAAGACATCAAATGATCTGTGTCTTGAGCAATGAGGGTGGGCTGTTCGGGGCTCTCTCCACATAGACCAACTCCACCCCAGGATTAGATCACGGTTAAGATTATTTCTTCACTTAATTTACCCCTTTAAAGTAGGGATCTGGACACTTCTTTTTATCACTACAGAATGCAGCCAGTTTTGACCACACACATCTTAGGAAACTTCTGATTAAGGTCATATTGCCCACATAGGGAAGTCTTCTTTCCTGGTTATGAATCTGTCAGGAATTTTCACATTACCTTGGAATCTGCCACTTCACAGAGACCTAACTTTTCAATGACCTTTTTGATTCGCTTATTTTTTCTCTTCTTTGACATAGTTGTTGGAAGTCGAAGAGAAGCTGAGAACCACATGTTTTCTCTCACTGTCAGGGTGCTCATCACGACATCATCCTGAAGGGAAATGTGCTTTCAATGAGTCATACTGAGTCTTTTCTAAGACCATCACTCCAGCGAATGTTTAAGTTTATTCACAAAAATAACAAACTCATGGAAAATTTCTAGGTAATGGTGAACTTTCAACTCTAAACATTTCAGTGACTCCACAGAGCTTCAGAGCCCAGGGAATAATTTTCCTTCCCTATCTTCACACCCAGATGGAGCACAGGTGATTACGGTGACTTCTAAGCACTTCCAGAATACTTTATATGAGGATTTGACAGGGGCATCTTTTAGGAGAAAAAGAGAGGTGAAGGAAGGGCAAAAGGGCAACAGTAGACCCTTTGGAAATGATTCAAAGTTAGAATTGTTACCATTGCCTACAGGTTCATATTCCAGATCATTTCTTCCTCTCCTTTTAACCTCTTTGTCAGTCTTAAGGGAGATTATGTAAATTCGGTGTAAATAAGATTGGTTCCTTGAGCATGTTCAATTGGAAGCATGGTATACTACAAGCCAAGGCTCTTGCCCATATAGAAACAGGGAAAACCTAAAAGGAAAACCCACCCATACTTACCTGTACCACATATCCTGAATGACATTGGAAATTGTCAGGGTGAGGTACTTCATGTACCCAAAGATTTTCATATAATACTCTTGGTTCTTTCCTTGCAGCTAAGATATCTAATAACCTATAAAAGGACACACATGTTGTGAGATTTTTCCTTACTATAAAGGTCACATCTCTCACCTATTCTGAATCCAAATTCTGTTCAGGTTAGAAAGTGAACTAGCCAAAATATTCTGTGGTTTAACATATGCGTGTACATGCACGCAGACACACAAATTCTTACTTTCCTTTATCATGTGGTATAAGAAAGCCAAAAAAAAAAAAAAAAACGTTAAAGCAAGATATCATTTGCTTATCCAGTACAGATCTTCCAAGTGACCCTCACCTTTATGGATCCTACCCAAGCAATAAGAGCATTTACCTCTGAGTTATGTCCCACTGAGACCTTCAGCTCCTTATCTACACTTTTAATATTATTCCTTTATTTTCCTTTCTCATTATCTCATAACAAGGTCAACTGCTTTGTGCTAATTACTTTATCATGCTGTGTTGAAATGCTGAATTTAATAAGAATTCCTGGTCCTAGGATTAAAACCATAAGATAGTCCAAATGCACATTATCCACAGGACAAAGGCCCAGACAAGACATGAAAAGAAAATGCATGTCATTTGTAAAAGCACACAGAAACAGCACCAAAAGTCTTATTTGTGCTTTCTGTTATACTCACAGTGATTTGCCTCCACCTTGGGGTCCCACGATGGCATTAAGGCCAGGTTTCATGATCCCACTGTAAACACAAAAACATACTGATTTATTATTTCACTTTTTAAAGAGTTGTATAGGTTTAGGGGCTACACTGAATATATTATTTAAGGCTAATGAAATTGCAGACATATAACAAGAACCAAATTTTAAGGAAAAAAATCATTGGTTAAAAATAGTCTAGTATACATAGGATATGAATCACTAGTCAAGACCTATGAGAGAAAAGCCTCAGATCCTTGAAAATCCCTTTCATTTATTCATGAAGCCACTAATCCCTAAATGGAAATGACACATTCTATATCAACAATCTGTGAAATTCTTGTAAATAATCTCCATTCCTCTTACTCTTTTTAAACAGCTTCTGAATAATGTTTGATGATCAGCCTCTTCAAATCCCCTGGCATGCTTCCCAGTCAAGTAACACACAATTAATAAATCAATGATTTGTAGACTATCAGGAGTAGTGTTCTCACTTTTAAAATCTAATCAGAACAAAAGAATCAATACATCTTAAATAGAAATAAAAGACTGGAATAAAGCACTCTAGAGTATAAGAAACTATCACCTGTTCTTCACATTTGAGAAAAACATCTTACCAATTAAAAAGGCAAAACATGCCCTAGGATAGATGATTTACTGCTTTGTTCAGGATCTGATAAATGGACTGGAAAATGATCTGTGTAGAATTAGGAGACATCCCTCTAGCATGGATGTCCTTTGGGGATGTGCAGGCACAAAACAGATACAATTGTGCTTCAATCTAATTAAGGGTGTATGTGAGAGTAGTGAGTATTCAGATAGAGAAGAAAGGGGTGATGATGGCAGTGTTGACTGTGCTAAGACCCAAGATGAAGTCAAATAGGCTGAATTTTGTCCTAAATATAAGAGGTGAAACTACTAAGAAAATTAAATGGAGGAAGGAGAACTAAGGGCAGGGACATTGCAGGTGCACAGGAATGATCAAAGAACAGTTTGACTTAACCCATTCAGAACACTGGTGTCTATGCCAGTCTCTCTTTAGAACTGTTAGGTACCTCAAAATGTGTTCTACAGTGTCCCACAGCACTCACACCACTAGGACTTTGGCATTCATGGCCGGTGCCACCTAATATGTCTCACAATGATACTAGGGCAGCTGGGGGCTGAGGTGAAATGTACCTTTCACTTTGCTTTTTAACTAGGAACAACTCACTCAATTACTGAACTAATATAATGAGCGTGTGATAAACCAGGAACAAGATGTGACACAGAAAATTCTTACTCTTTTGGTAACCTTCCTCCCCCAGTATAAGGACACACAAATGACTGGGTACATCTGGGGGTGAAGATCAGTGTTAGCATGGGTGTTTAGCATGCATAAAGTCTTGGGTTCAATCATTAGCAAACTCCCAAATTAAAAATGCTTGGGTACACTCTCAAAGTGCATTTGTATATAGTTCCTAATGATCTTCTTTATTAATATCTACCTAGAAACTGCTTCTAAAATGAGTAGGAAAAGCCTTCTTATTCCCTAAGTCTTCATTCAGTGACTGGAAAACTTCCCAGGTTTTTAAGATATGTACTGAAGGAAAGATCAAGCCATCCTGAATGATTCAACCAAAACCAAATGTAAATATGTAAAGGCAAAGTATTTCACAGGTACCAGTGTTTGGTTTTCTTTGACACTAAACCCAGTGTTGCAGAAAATGGAAGTAGTGTAGATTCCCAAATGCCACAGTTCCAATGTGGAGCAGTAGCTAATTCCATATCCATTGAGGCAGCTGGAAAGGATAAGCAACGTAAATGAACCCTCACACAGAGTGTATTTTATATATATTCAACCTGCACATATTCAAAGCATGGTACATTCACTTCTTTCATCACAAAATCTGTAGGGACAAACATATTTTAATTACTGTATTTCACAAAGGCTTGTTAGCTTTTCATAAGTCAAGTCTATCTAATGTAGTAAAAGATGAAAGCCTGTTATCCACCATTTCTCCTAGTCAGGATTTCCTGAACCAACACGAGAGAGACAAGAAGTAGGCAAGTTAGCAGGTGTTGCTGCATGGACAGAGATCCCATCCTAATAGCAGTCAAGGCCTCAGCCCAATCAGCCCTCAGATCCTCACCATTTCTTTTCCACCTATGCCTCAACATTTTCTATGCTATCTTATCACTTCCTTGATCTGAAGGGAGTTGCTGGCATTAACAAAGAAGTATAAAGTCACATAAAAATATCTAGAAGACAGAATGAATGTCAAATTCCATATATATTTGCAGCCACATTGAGTCAAAGTACTCTTTTATAACTACTCTCCAGCCTTGGGGAGCCAGGAAAAAGTTTTTGCTTTGTTTAGGAAGAATTTTTCCCTTATGACACAAACAGAACTTATAGCAATGGTATCTATGCAAAGCCAAATTCACATCCTAACATCATATATGGGAATCAGAGACTCACAAATATCAGAAAAACATTGACACCCATAACGGTCAGTATCTGAACTCACAGAGGTACATGTGGTAGTGATAGGTTACATAGAAATATTCATTGCCCTCCTACTCTAGATCTCATTTCAACATTGCACTTTGAGTTCTGAATTTGTTGTGAGATGAAAAGAATAAAAATCATAATTGCCATGTACTTTAAAAATATAATTATTTATTCCCAAATGACTTAAAATCATCATACTACAGTGACACAACCACATCAACATTTATAGCAGCCCAATTCACAATAGCTAAACTATGGAAGCAACCTAGGTGCCCTTCAACAGATGAATGGATAAAAAAAATGTGGTATATATACACAATGGTATATTACTCAGCCTTAAAGAAGAATGAAATTGTGGCATTTGCTGGTAAATGGATGGAGCTAGAGAATATCATGTTAAGCAAAATAAGCCAATCCCAGAAAAACCAAAGGCTGAATGTTTTCTTAGGTATGTGAATGCTAATTTACAATAAGGCAGTGGGGGTTAGGGAAAAATAGAGTGGACTAGGCAGAGGGGAGTGAAGGGAAGGGAGAAGATACAGGGGTCAGAAGGTTAGTAAAATGAATTGGACATTATTACCCTGCCCTATGTGCATTTATGATTCCATGACTGGTGTTATTCCACATCATATACAACCAGAAGAATGAGAGGATATACTCTATTTCCATATGATGTGTCAAAATGCAAAATTCTACTGTCACGTAAAACTAATTAGAACAAATAAAAAATAGTTGATTTAAGAATATAAATTCTTATTACTCTGTACTTTAACTGTATAACTTCAATTAATTTACAGACATCTTATATTTAAATATGTTCTACCTGTCTTTATTAGAATAAGTGATAAGTAAATTGTTATAGAACAATTATAACTATTATAAAGAGACAATTTTAAAGCAACCATTCATTTAACACAGGTCTGTTTGAAAAGATAAGTACTTTCACAATATACTAGCATTTTAACTTTCTTGTTTCTAGACTATAAAGGATATAAAGTGCACAGGTACCAAAAATGCATCTGTTTCAGAAAGCACATTGTATTTCATAGTTTGGAAAGTTCAGAGTTACAATTATATACCCACAATTAAAAAACAATGATACAGGCATCCTTCCACCCAAACACAAGGCTTACCCATGAAAAACTAAAGACCTATTAATTGTTCAGTTTCTTAAATAAATATTGATATACGTTTTACAATCATTTTTAGAAATGGTGTGTCAGTTCAGTTCCTTTCAAACTAAACATACACTTAAAGATGACTCAATCATTTCAGTCCTAGTTTAGCCAAAAGATGTGAAAGCATATCTTAATATGTCTGTACACAGTCTTGAACACAGTAGCCAAGACCTGTATTCATTGTTGGTCAATATAGTGGTCTTTTAAAAAGTTCATGCACATACTTGATATTCCATAGTTCCTTTTCCTAAGTTGTTTTTTGATCAAATGGAAAGCCTTTCTTCTCTTTTACGTGATAAGAGACATTGTGAAAACTCAACACAGGCCCTTTCTTATCACTGGAAGTTGTCTCAGGGAGGTCATCAGAGTTTCTTTGGGACATGGAAATTGAACACAGGTCATTACTGAAAGACATCTGGATAGTTCTGCCTTTCTGTAGAGGGAAAAGCATTAGTAAGTTGATAGTCCATGTAAATCAAATTATAAACACTAGATAACAACATATGAACACATTTAAACCAGGATCCTTTTAAACTGTGCTGTAGTGAGTAGGTTCTTCTTTCTAAAGAAGACCCCACATCACTGTGATAAAAAGAACCTTAGAACCTATAATGGGAGGCAGATCCAAACTAGAATACCTGCACTCCAATTAGATGTCACATTCCCAAATTAAGGTGTCCTAATAATTAAACAGTATGAAAATTATTCAAAACCCAGGAAGGCAGAAAAATGCAAATAATTATTAGTTTTGTCTGGCTTGAAAATCATAATATGATACAACCTCAATTCAGGAAGAGCCTAGAGGAGCATCATTCAGTGGTTGTATTTGTTTAATGTTAGTGTTTATAATATTTTTTACTACCAAAAGGAACTTATTCTAGCATTCTGGGGCAGGAGAGATTTCTCTGAATTTATAGTTGTACAACTTTGGTTGTTGTGCACCTTCAATCAGCAAAGTAGGTAAACGCCAACATTCTTTTACAATGACATTATTATTTCCTTCATGCACAAACATATGAAAATTATGAATTAAATCAAACCAATAGTTAAGCAGTTCAAAGCTTTAGAGCAAAAGTGAATATTAAGTTAAAAATATTTCATTACAGAAATTACAAAAGTTCCCTTAAAGTATTTAATCAGAATTAGACCTGTGGCTGAACTAAGCTTGTTAAATTGGTTTTAAGTGCTAACTGCAATAATCCTAGCTCTCATTTTTAAAAGCCAAAGACATTCATGAAGAACTTTATCTTTGCCTATGGTGGACTAGCTGCTCCAAACTAATCATCCTCCCGAGAACAACCATAGAAGCAGAGAGAACATGAGACGGAGTGTGTGAAGAGTTCTCTGATGAGAGCAAGAAAGCCAATGGTACTGGAGGAACCAAAATTGTGTGGGCTCTCTCTCATCCAGCGAGTAGGTCCACAGAACAGGGTAGAGGAGAGTGTGACTGCAGAATTGCTAATCAAGACCTCTGGAGACCAAGCAGGAAACAGATCTGATTTTATTGCACAGTTACCATGTATATATTCTTAGGCAGTAGCTAAGCAGATTACAGGCAGCTACCAATGCAATTTCTGCTACCTGTCCTTGCAGTGACCAATTGAGGAGTGTACCATGGAGCAAGCACGGGGATTGCAACACACGGCCTCATGCTCAGGGCTGTGCCTATGGGGTAAGACTTCTGCTGCTCACATGCCTAGCACAAGGGAAGTTGCCTGCCACTCAGAAAACCTTGGTGTATGCCAGGTATGTAGTCCTCCATGCAGAAAATCCCAGCAAGCAAGGAACAGCACTGGGCAATCCCAGAACCCTGTGCCTTTTCCCCTCTGGGGTTTGCAAATTCAAACTTTACACACAGGGCACCACTCAGGAGCCAAGCAGAAAGAAGCTGCTAGAGGCATTGTCCAGGAAGCCCCTAGTATATCTGAGCAAATATCTCAACAGTCTTTCATCCAGGGAGACAAAATTTGGAATTGTGAGCCAGTAAAGGTGAGGATTCCTAGAAAACCAAGCTTTCAAGATCTCAGAAACATTATGTCCTGAGAATACAGGAAAACCAAAAAGAGACCATTCTCTGCTCAATCTAGGTCATCATTCTTAAAAAGATATCATCACCCAGATGGAGTGGCACATATTTTTGATCTTAGCAACTTAAGAGACTGAGGAAGGAGAATTTCAAGTTCAAAGCCAGCTTAGGAATTTACTGAGGCCCTAAGTAGCACAGCAAGAACATGGTCTCAAAATAAAAAAATAAAATAAAACGGCATGTGGATGTGGCTCACTGGTTAAGGGCCCCAGATTAACAATACAAAGAAAAACAAAAGATATCCTCATTCAAATTTTCAAGTATGTCAGATATAGGAGCTAAAGTTCCAAAAATAAGAACATAAAAGAAGACCCACAGGTAATCCAGACTGGAGTTATTAAACATTGACATTAAAAGGTAGTTTTAATTACAGTAGTAATATGTTAAGGAAAACAGATTATCACCTAATAACCACATCTTTAAAAAAATATTAAAATAAAGAATTCAAGCTAGATATGGTGGTGCAAACCTCTAAATCCCAGCTACACAAGAGACTGATGTAGGACAGGGGGTCAGGAAAGCACTCTCCAGTGATGCTATTGAGCAGTCACTGAGGGTGGTTTTCTGGAGGAACAGTGCTATTCTAAGCACTAGTGTAAGGAACCAGCAGAAAGGCCAGAGGGCCTGAAGAGTGAAGGAGGGCAAGAAGACAGGTGATAAGGTCAAAGGAAGGAGAGCTCAGGCAGAGATCATTACTGACCACCATGAGAAATTTGACTTGGACTGGGAATGAGATTGAGGGTATCACAAAATTCTGAGTGAAGAAATGCCATGATGTAACCATATTTAAAAGGACCACTCTTACTTTTATCAGGGTAAGGATGGAGGAAGGAGATCATATAAAAGACTACTCTAACAACCAAAGAGCCAACAATGGGGACACTGTTCTCAATCCCTCCTCTGTTGCCTATGAGAGAACTTGGAAGACTTCTTTATCTCTGTATGTGCTGCCCCTGTGCAACACCACTTAGAAACTCCAAGAACAGAAATAGCCCCAGGTTTATCAGACACAACACACCAAGAACACACCACCTGTAGCACTCTCTCCTGGCCCACAAGAAAATGGGGGTGCAGGTGGGAAAGGCACAATACTTCAAGAGGAGGAGAACCTCATTCCCACAGCAAGGACTCTGTGGTCCAAACAGAGGATTTGTGAGGGTCCTTTATGATCTTAACTTGTTCCAAAAATATCCCAGTACCCTGCCTCACACACCCCATGATCACTTTAGGAAATAGAATAAGTATAATACATAATAACAGTTGACTTTATGTCCCATGGAAACTAGAGAAAAACTCATGCAAATTTAAAAGGAATCCAATGGAGAGGCTCCTATGAATCCAAACAAGAGGAGTAGGTATCAAGACATGGGGGAGTGTGCGTCTGTGGGAGTCAGGAGGACAACACCGGCAGATGCCCTGGGAAGTCCTCACCCTTTGTCTCCTCTCTTCACCAAGCTGACCCCACTGTACTGCATCCTGTTTAGACCTTCTGTGAGAGGGTAGATAAACCTCTCAGTCAGTCCTTCCTCTTTCTTTGTAAGACTCTCACCTCCAGTGGCTTCAGTGGGACATGGCATCATTTATTTATCTCCAAATAAAATCCAGCTATCAAACAGTAGCATATGGACCACAAGGTCTTAGTGTCCAAGTGTGTACTGTCACATTTAGTATAAGGACAGTTACAGCTACAAGATCTTCAGACTTGTTATCTTCTAGAAACTTCTGTTTCACCTCCTGGATAAAATGAAGTGTATTAACTAGTGCCAGCTGAGCCTAAGAACTAAATTCCAGCCAGACCCTGCTTAAACAGCAGCAAGGTCTTTCCAGTCACAAACCCAAGACATTGAGGTATTAATCAATAAAATACAGGAATACTGGTTCAGGAGGGTTTCTGACCAAGTACAGACTTCATTCCCTTCTTGTAAAAAACAGACTTATTCATAGACACCAGGATGCAAGCAGAAGGTTGAATAGCAATTTCTCCCTGTACTTATCACCCATCCCTGGCTTAAACAACTACTACACTACTAACTTTGAATATGATCCACCAAATATTTCCTCTCTGTATATAAATTAAATGTGTAGCTCAAAATCAGATATTCACTCTTGTCAGCCTCCTATTGAGTGTTAGAAATGGACAGATCTAGTGGCATAAAATCAGCAACAAACTAGATCAACTCACCAACAGGATCAATCAAGTGTGTGTAATTGAATATAAAAACGACAGCCATAGACATTTTGTTCAACAATGGACTGCTTCTGTGATGTTCCCATAAGATTATAACAGAGCTGGAAAATCCCTGTTGCCCAGTGACATGACAGCTGTCATCTGTTGTCAACATCATGGCAGCTGTTCTAGCAAGTGCACTACTCATTAAATTTGGGGTGTTGCTGGTATAAATAACCTACAGTACTTCTGTCATAAAAGTATAGCATGGAAAGTTATGTACCATACATAATACTCAATAGCAATGGTAAATGATGATGTTACTGGTTACAT